AAAAAAAAAAAAAAGAACATAGGATTTAAAATTAACCTTTATAACATTTGTAAACACCCGCTATTTACCAGCTGCTCTAAATGCATTAGGTGATTTAATCTCCAAAGCAACTCTTAGAGATAGGTATTATCATTACTATGATTATTGTTTAAAAGATAAGAAAACTGAAACTTAGATTTAGTAAATTGCCCCAGATCTGAGACTAGTAAATGGCAACACTGGCCTATGCTGTTATCCTGGGTCTAATTTTCTTAATAGTCTCACCTATACTAAGGTATCATTTTCAAGGAAAAAAAAAAAATCAATATAAATAATCAATATATATTAATACATGTAGTAGCATGCCCTAAGTTGGTACAAAACCACTTCAGACATAACCTTTTGTGTGCTGATACACAGACTTAGAAAATTTCTTATCCCACTTATGCAGTTTGACAATTGAGAGAGGGCCAGAAACCATGGATTGTCATTTTGTAATTGTTAGGTGAAGAAATCAATGTGTCTTGAATGTAGAGCAGAGAGAGGATAGTGTAGGGTGACCAGATTTTAACATTTGTAAAGCGGGACAACATGGCCAGGGGCGGGGCGGGGGCGGGGGCGGGGCAGGGCCTGACAACAATGTAAACTTTGAGAAGTAGTTCTCGATAATCACTTCTCAACAATTATTTGTTATTATTACAGTTTAACATTATAAAATTAACAAAAATAATATAAAACACATATTCTGGCAAAATAGCCATATGGCAGCTGAATATTCCCTTCCTGTTCTCCCGCCTGTTCGTGCATTCTTTCCAAAAATTGGGACTTTTTTAAAACGCTGTGGGACAAATTGTTAAAAAGCGGGACTGTCCCGCCAAAAACGGGATGTCACCCTAGGATAGTGGCTAGACTCTTCAAAGTGGCTCCAGCCATGGCTCCCTCCCACTGGATCCCTCCGAAGGACATTGACAAACCAAGCGACTGACCTCCACATCCCAGTGAAACTGAACATGGTGCTCACGCAGCGAGGGAGGGGTGGTGGCTTGAGTCCGTCCAGGCGCATGAGCAGAGCTGGGATGCCAAAGAGCACCAGGTACTTGACATAGAAAAAGAGCACCTGGGCCAGCGCCAGTCCGCCTGCAAAGCAAAGGGCCGGTCAGACACGCAGGCAGAGGCGAGCAGTCCTGGGAAAGCGCAACCCCCAGGCAGCTGATCCACCTGCCTGCTTCTCCTCCTGCCACTCCCTCCCTTCAACTCACACATAAAAGTGTCCCACATTGGTTTTATTGAATGAAATCTTCACACTAACAAATACCAAAATCTCATTCTTGGGACAGGAAACCGGCCAAGTTAGTAGTTATGCTTCTACAGAGAGCAGGAAAGGAAATGCCTCTGCTTTACCTTAAAAAACTCTTAGAAAAAAGGAAAATCCCTCACAAATCCTTTCACAATGTACATGAGTTCACACCTACTAGGCTAGCTAGAATCAAAAAGTCAGAACAAGTGTTTGGTGGTGATGTGGAGAAACTGTAACCACTGCGCACTGCTGGTAAGAATGTGAAAGGACGCGACTGCTTTAGAAAACAGGCTGATAGTTCCTCAAACGAGTCAACAGTTACCACACGACTTGGCAATTCCACGCCCAGGTGCATAACCCGAGGAATGAAGACATGTTCACGCAAACACTTGTACCCTGATGTTCACAGAAGCATCATTCACAATAGCCAAATAGTGGAAGCTCCCTATGCCCCTCCACAGGTGACTGGACAAACCAACTGTGCTGTCCATAGTCTACAGACAACGGAGTCTTGTTCAGTCATAAAAAGGACTGAAGTAATGGTATGTGCTGTCACACGGAAGCACCTTGAAAACACCAGGCTGAGCGCAATAAGCCAGTGACAACAGACCACCTATTACATGATTCCATTCATACAAAAGCCTGGAACCAGGAACTCGATGGAGACAGAAAGTAGACTAGTGGCTGCTTGGGGAGGGAGGGCAGCTAAAGGGTAGGGTTTCTTTTCAAGGTGATGAACATATTAAATTGGTAGTGATGATAGATGAATCCTGTCTGTGAAGACACTAAAGCCACTGACTGTACATTCTACATGGGTGAGTTGTCCCAATAAAGCTGTTCAAAAAAAAAAAACCTACATGAGGCCTCCATGCTACAGCAGCCTCTTGGCCTGAGTCACGCCTTGCCATAGGGGTAGGAGCTCAGGATGGACACCGTTATTGGGTCTGATGCTGGGATCAAGACAAGCACTATGACACCCCCCTGCCAGGCCTCACCTGCCCCCTCTGAGAGTGACCCACTTCCCCAGCTGAGACTCAAGATGCTCTACTGACTCTAACCTGCCTCAGGCCTCTGTCACTGGGTTACCATTTATAGCCTCACACTCTGTAGTGAGTAGCTGCTTTCACGTCTTTGCCTGGGGATGGGGAGGCCCCAGGCTCCCTGACAAGGGGGCACCACAGATCTGGCCTTGGCAGTAGGTTGAGGAGGTGGTGGGTCCACCAGTCCAGTGCCACAAGGAGAAGGCTAAAGGCAAAGCACAGGAGGGAGCCTAGGAGATGACCAGCAGCCGTATGCTGCCTGACCTCCAGGCTACCTCCCCGAATGTGCAGGGAAACACCGCAGGACGTGTCAGCACAGCAGGCCAGGCTACCTTCAGGGATATTATGAACGAAATAACTAAGCCTTGAAAATATTACTGTCTGACCTTCTTGATAAGACACAAGGATCTTTGAAAGAATGTCACTACTATGCAGTCAGCATGTGTCTGTGAATGGCAACCTGGGGCCAGAAGAAACATACATCCATTTTCTGAACCTACACTGTGGGTAATAGATGGCGGTGCCAGTGTGAAAGCCACATACGCTACAACAAGAAAAGCCCGGGAACTGCAGGGCCTCGGTTCTCCAGACTTTTAGAAACCAGATTACTGCCCTACTTCCCAGAAGGCCCGAGTATAAACTTTCCACGTTCTTGAATGTGTTTGATAAGAGTCAGGAAAAATTTTGGAGTTGTGTTTATGTGTACACACACCCACAGACACATTCATCAGGTAGTGAAATAGATGTGCTAGTAACGCTACCTAAAAAGCATCTTAAAGTAGTGGAGCATGTGACCACGGTGAAGAAATTAGTTCCATTGGCTGACACAGCCCTAGGGTGGTGGCAAGGGGGGCTCTAAAATGGTCCAAAGTGAATTACCAGGCTCTAGTCAGACAACTTCCAGAGGTGGAGATGGCAGGACACACATAAGGATGGATGATGAAGGGCACACGCTTCCCAAGCAGAATATGCTCAGCCTGAAGACCTGAAGGTGTCCAGGGACGTATGCAGAGTGCATGGTTAAGGCCGTCCCAAGCTCAAGCTCTCACATCCATGAAGCAACACAGACTTTATTCCTTTTTACCAGATGCCAGATCAGGAAGAATGGGTTGCTTCATGTCTCAAGTACTGCCTTTATTTTTGACACTATTTTCATATAGTTGTCATATCCAAGATATATGAATTAAAATCTGTAGCCGAGTCTACATTTTTATGACTCACCATTTATTTGCACAAAATCCTCACCATTTGTTAGTACTTTCATACAGAACTGAGCTAAAAAGAGGATTTTGAATAGATATTTACTATAACCCTATAGCTAAATCTAAGTGAAGATAAAGCAATTGGATTTTTTCTCTCTCTACAGACGGAAAGCACAAGAGGCCACACATTTATTAATATGTAACAAGCACTCTCTTTACCTGTTATTGAATATTTCTGATGGATTAAGATACAAAAGCCTTAAATATATTTTTCCCTGAAATTTTAATAACTATTTCACAAGCTTATAGGAAAAAAGACAATGGTTCTTTGAGCATTGTAATTTTAATTTCTATGTTAATTTGTTTTAATTGTGTTTGCACGTGTAGGTTTAATTATTCTGCTGTCTAACTGCTGGTTTTCATTATCTCTATGAAAGATGCATGGCTCATTCTTCATTCCCCTTGACCTAAAAATTAGTCTTTCCCTTGTAAGATATGGTCCAAAGTTTCAGGGTTGACTCTGAAGACTTCGCTACATTCTCTCAAGAATAGAATAGGCAAGAATGCGACCTAAGAATATAAATGACTCTACTCTGAAAATTATTTCACATGCATAAATTGAACTAGCTTTCATCGTGTTCAAAACAAAAAAAAATTTACTATGTCTCAAAACTTTAAAAAATGTTGCTGGGCTTATATTTAAAAGATTCTTTAATTAGCAAAAATTATAATTGGTTTTCCCTAACCTCACCTCTTCTCCCCCAAAAGCCATACAGGAGTCCATATATTACACTCTTCCTTTTGACATTCATTCACTCAACAAACACAAACTAAAAAAAAAAAAAATGTATGACCACAGGAAGTCCCCAAGTTACAAACATCTGACTTACATACAACTCACACTTATGAATCGCGATAATAGGTAAATGCACCTGCTCCCACTTACATATAAATTCGACTGGAGAACAAACCTATAAAACCTATCTTATTCATAAAGCAGAGACTGCCTAGACTAGAATCACTAGTGACATACTATGACACACAGACTAGAGGTCAAATCAAGCGGGACTCAGCCCTTGGGGGGCTCATTGTCAATTCCATTACAATTTCTTTTATCCCTCCTTTTGCCACAGGGTGTTTCCTTCTACCTTTGTGCCCAATCCCTCTCTCTCTTTTTGGCAAAATTCTACTTATCCATCAGATCCCAGCTTAACTATAGTCTTGTATTATTCATTTAATATACAGCTACTGAGCATCAACTCCTCACCAGGCACCGAGAAATACAGTAGTGAATGCAGGGGCATGATGTCTGCTCTTATGGGGTATTACAGTCTGATAAAAGAGACAGGAAAAAAACATAAATCAGGGGTGGGAAATAGTGAATGCAGGGGCATGATGTCTGCTCTTATGGAGTATTACAGTCTGTTAAAAGAGATAGGAAAAGAACATAAATCAGGGGTGGGAACTAAAACTCACACTACTAGGATGGGCACCAACATGAACACAGTGGCTCAGACACCATTCATTTTACATTTAAGAAATGTAACTTGAGTATTTTTATACCAAGCATGGTTCCAGGTACTCACTATGTGTCAGTGGGTGCTCCTGCTTTCATGGGGCTTACATCCTAGCAAGAGTCAACAAAAAATAGACCGAAAAATAAATTATAAATTAATACTAATGTATAGCAGAGTGTCTTTTTAACAATAGCTGCAACTGCATCTTCCATCCCACACGTTCTTCTGGAATGTGGCCTCGCCACTCCCCTTTCAAAAGTAAATCTGTGCAGATCCAAGAATTAGATACAGAAGTAGTGATGATGTTCCAATTCCATGTGGAGGCTGCCATTTTCCTGCACCTTCTGCTTCCTGCCCCCTGGAATGCTCGTTCTTGGGACACTCCCTCTTAGAACCCCAGTTGTCACGCTGGGAGAAGCCCAAGCCACACAGAGAGGCCACACAAAGATGTCCTGGTAGACAACACCAGCTGAGCTCCCAGCTAACAGCCAGCCTCAAGTGCCAGCCATGT